TTCCCCCCCCCCCCCCCCCTGGCCGGGGGTTTTTTTGTTCCCCCTTTTTCCCCCCCCCCCCCCCCCACCCCCCCCCGCCCCCCCCCTTGCCCCCCGCCCTGCTGCTGGCCGGAGCTTATCTGGTCATCGTCTTTGCCAGCTCCCCCTCCCTCGCCACATGCCACGTGCAGCTGTGTGCCATCCTGTAGCCACTGAGAAAGGTCTTGGTTGTGTTTTTTTGGAGCCATTGTTGTTTTTTTTGTTTTTGGTCTCCTGCATGGTGCGCGATGTCAGTCTCTTGCTCCCCCTGCTGGTCAGCACTGGCACTGCATATTCCGCTATGAGACAAGTGGGCTCCCCCTCTCCCCTGGGGCTTTGGCCCAGGCTGCTTTGGGCCCCCCCCCCCCCCCCCCCCCAACCCAATCCCCAATCCTTGCACTCCTATGGCTGTCAAAAGCGCTGATGTTGTCGCTGCTGGGATGGATGGCTGACGGTTCCACTTTGCTGGCCCTGATCCGTGTCTGTGAACTCGGCCCCCTTCCCACAACCCCCCAGGGAGGAGGAGGACATCGCCCCGGGGCTGAAGGTGTGGCGGAAGGCCGTGAGCGAGGTCCGCAGCGCTGCCCAGCTCTCGCTTTGCATTCAGCACTTGCAGAAGTCCGTTGCCTGGGAGAGGTCCATCATGAAGGTGGTGAGTACGCACACCCACTTCCCAGGCCCACTTCCCAGGCCCACTTCCCAGGCCCACTTCCCAGGCTCGCTTCTCGCCCCTCCTTGTGCTAAGAGTGTCTCCTTCTCTCTGTCCCAGTACTGTCAGATGTGCCGCAGGGGTGACAATGAGGATCTGCTCCTGCTCTGTGACGGCTGTGACAAAGGATGGCATACCTACTGTCACCGACCCAAGATCACCAGCATCCCGGAGGGCGACTGGTTCTGTCCAACCTGCATATCCAAGGTACACCCCCCCCACGGACCAATGGGTGATCGGGAATCATGCCCCCCCCCCCCCTCTTGCTGTGCTGATGCATGTATACAATGTCATGACTCCCCCGCCCCCTTCCCCGCAGGCCAGCGACCAGTCACCCAAAAACAAGAAACTTCTGAGCAAAGGTGGGGCAAGTAGCGGGGGCAGCAAGAAACCCCCCGAGGTGAAGCGGGTCAAGAAGGCGTCCGCCGGGGGGGAGGCCTCCGAGGACGGGGTGGCCAGCGCGGGCGGCACGCCAAAGAAAGCCCCCAAAGATCCGAAAAAAAAGAAGGTGGAGGAGGCGCCCCCTGCTGGCCAAGCCAAGCCGGACAGTCCCACCTGCGCAAAGATGCCAAAGCCTTCCCAGGACAATGACAGGGACCTGACCTTCTGCAGGTAGCACCGGAGCCATCGGTGACTGGCACAGCTGGGCCATTTCTTACTGGGCTCTCACAGGACACATCTTCATCAGTCCGCCTTCTTCATGACAAATACACAGCATTCCGGCCGCCCGGGTTTTCAGTAGAGTCTCTATCGCTGTTTCTCCCATGAGTGTCTCGAGTACCTTGTCAGTCTAGTCTAGCAGCACTTGTACCTAAGCTTGTGATGTATTATCTGCCTGGGTTGATTGCAGAGTTGGAAAGTTCAGAAAATATAAATCTGGACCAGAATTTTGTTCCAGCCAACCAGTTGAGTACCCTATGACTGTGACTTTTTATGCAGAACTGTTTGGTTGAAACAAAAGCTTGGTCTGGATTTGTACTTTCTAGACTCTTGACCTCTGGTTGTATGCCACTTTTGTCTGCCAAATGAATAAATGTATTATTATTGAGGTAGTTTGGACAAGGATGTAGCAATCACACATCACAGACCCCCTCCACTTCCTTGCCACATCAATGTTTTGTACCCATGAAGTTCTCCCAGATCGTCGCACAAACATGCTAATGTTGTGTTAGTGTAAACAGTTTCTGGTCCACCTGTCACAATGGGCTGAGTCTTGTACAGTGAAGTCACAAGTAGTCACCCCTATGACTAGGTCATACGTGCCCCCCGTCCCCCACAGAATCCTCCTGGCAGAGTTAGAAGACCACCACGATGCCTGGCCCTTCCTCAACCCTGTCAACATCAAGACTGTACCCGGGTACCGGAAGGTGATCAAGAAGCCAATGGACTTCTCCACCATCCGCGAGAAGCTCTGCAGCTGCCAGTGCGTAATCTCCCATCCCCTAGTGCTCTCCCGTCTCGTACCCCCAGCTTCAGTGCGTAATCTCCCATCCCCTAGTGCTCTCCCGTCTCGTACCCCCAGCTTCAGTGCTTTCGGGAGTTTTAATAATAATTGTTTTTGTTCAGCTTACGGAGACTCTGTTTGGGTAGTTCCTGAAACTCAGAAAGGTGTCCCCCATTCCCTCCCCCCCCCATTCCAGGTACCAGAACCTCGAGATGTTCATCATTGACGTCAACTTGGTTTTCGATAACTGTGAAAAGTTTAACGAAGACAACTCGGAGATCGGAAGGGCCGGACACAACATGAGGAAGTTCTTTGAGAGACGCTGGACAGAACTTCTGAAGAGTAACTAGTCTGGTCCTAAGCATTGTCCTCAGTCCCCTCAGACAGCTACCTGTCCACCTCACGTCCAGCCCGGTGTGCCCATAAGCGTTGTGCTAAGCAGACAGATTCCCCCGATGCTCGAGGCTGATGTGGCCCCTTCAGCACCCGGTGGGGTGGGGGGGGGGCAACGGAAGCCGATGAATAATGGCACAAAAACGCACCCAAGGAGTCTCAGATGGGGCAGCCCTTGTGCAATACAAGATACCAGAAACCGCACTGAATTTACAACCCTCAGAGCCGTCTGCGAAATGACTCTCCGCTACCTTCACATAGTTTATTTTTCTTTTGTTTAAACTCTACCATGAATATTATAGTGAATGTATTTAATTTTATTTATGAGTAAAAAAAAAAAAGTCCAGTCTTCATTTTCTGTGAAAAGGAAGAAATGACAGAAATTGCTTTAAAATCTTAAGGAATGTTTTTCGTATATAAAACAAAGCCAAGAAAACTGAATACTGTTTACACGCTTCAGTGTCTCCCGGAAGCAGGAGAATAGTCACGGTAATACTGTAGAGCTGCATTTATATATGAATAGGGGTTTTGCATCACATGGTTGTAAGAGAGAATCACGTGACTTGTGTGTGTGCGTGCGTGTGTATGTGTACTGCATTCATTAATGTTAAGTCTTGTTTGGAATATGTATGATGTGTACATAGTGATTCAGACATGAAATATTGTTTATGCCTTAGGAAAACTGTAGCGTTTTACTTTAGTCTTAAAGTGATTATGCATATAGAGTCTGTACAGCACTGTTCTACATACACTGTGGTCTCCTTAATCTTGGTAGTGCCTGCCTTTCCAATGAAACATAGGGGTATTTTTATTTCCTAATTTTGTTTTTATTTATTGTTTTTTTTAACCCATACTGTATCTCAGCTCGTGTTACCATTGGGGTTAATGTTTGTATTTACCGCAGTGCATAGTGTTTTTCATGAACACTCCTGCCCTTGTCAAGACACACACACATAACAGACCTCTGTCACCAACCCATGGTCAATTAAAATAACAATAATGACAATAATAATAATAAATTGTTTGACCCTTGCTGTGTGATGTGGCCCACTAGAGGCAGCTAGACCAGATTGGTTTTGTACCCATGTCAGAGTACTTGAAGTTATTTTATTTAAATATATTGTGGGAAAAAATGTAGCATTTTTTGTAGAAGCATTATTTTTAACTTTGTGTATGCGTGTATGTGTGTGTTTGTATGTGTGTATGGGGAGGGGGCACAAAGCTAAGAATAAAAGGATGTTTTACAACCCAAATTCGTTTATTGCTCGCGGATTACTCTGTGTCCTTATGGGAATAATTAACATAAAGGTCCAAGCTTTTAAGGCAAATTATTCATCACCCTGAATCTGGAGCTAGCCTCGCATCGTCGGTACTTCTCTGGCAAAAGCGATTTCTCGCACTTAATCCAAGGACGTCCGCAAATAAGTAAATGTGTCCGCGGCAAATGAGGGAAGCTTATCAGCGATCCCCAGCGGCAGTAAATAAGATTACATTAAAGCCTTATCGGTCACATGGCCGATCCCGGACCAGGAAGTTGGCGATTACAAATTGGGAGACGTGCGACAGGTTTAGTTTTTGTATTTTACCCCAAATTCACCTTTAATATTTCTACATCAGCGTTGGGTAAGAGTTACGCATTCCACAAGGCTTGCTATAAAACTACCTATAATAGTCATAAATAGCCTATGCTAAAGATATTTGTACTTTCTAAAACGTATTTAAGTATGTAATTACTGAGATTTTTTTTATTTTGGATTACATTTTAGTTGTGAAACTTTCGTTTCCGTTTATTCATTAGCATCCTTTTATCTTCTTTGAAGTTTAACGGCGATGCCGATCTGTCGCAGTCACGGTAATTAAGTTAATTAATAGCGAGCGAGTCCAGATGCGCGTCTTATGGCGGAGGCTTTGCTGTGTGTAATTTTGACAGGGTCGTCCCAAGGGCTGCCGAGAAGATGGTGTCCCTTCTGCGCTCCATCCAGGACCACGCAGATGATGTGAACTGGTGCGGCTTTTCCTCCACCCTACTGGCGACGTGCTCCTTGGATAAAAGCATCCGCATCTATTCCTCCACCGACTTCACCGAGGCGTCCTTCTCACCCCTGGCCGGCCACGGGTACGGGGTGCACTGTTGCTGCTTCTCCTCCTGCGGCCGGTACCTGGCCTCCTGTTCCACCGACGCCACCACGGTGGTCTGGGGCATGAGCAGCGGCGAGAAAGTGGCCGTCTTTGAGCAGCCGGGTCGCAGTCCCGTCAGGGTCTGCATGTTCTCGCCTGGATCCGCCTGCCTCGTCTCCGGGGCGTCTGACGGAAGCATCGCTTTGTGGGACTTCCAATCGAGAGCGCTGCGCAGGTAAGCGGGATATAAAAATCATATACATTAACAGGGCTGCCAAGTCTCACCCATCTGGCGTGACACTCACGCTTTCAGATGCAAGCAATCTTACGGCAAATCTGTATTATTCAATTCTAAACCTACAATTAGCTACATCAAAAGCATTTGGGGTAGTTTGCAAACCCTACTGACTATTTACAAGGTAATAAAACTGTCACATACATATAAATGCGTGTGCAGACTTGTCTCGAATGGAAAATCTCGCTCCAGCCCACTGACCAAAGTTGGCAACCCTACATTAAACTAAAAACGTGTAAGAAGTCTGGTTGTTATCTGAATCCTCCTAATGCGTGTGGAGATCTGAATGATATAATCTCCTTGGTTTGAAATATGCTTAGGGGTAGGAGTCAGTAAATGGCTGTACAGTAATTATAGGGCACCGTGAAGGTAATCTGTATGCAGGGTGACTCTTATCATGTATGGCGCGCGTCAGCCTGTTTGGCTGCATGCAGCTGAGTGTGGACCCCTCCCGCAGGACGGCTGCGGTGAAGGACGGCTCGGTAGTGGCCTGATGTTTGTCACAGACACCACCTATGGGGACATGCAAGTGTGGGACCTGGATGCCAACCAGCTCCACGCTGCCAGGGAAGCTCATGACCTGGGGGTGACTTGCTGCCATTTCGCACCCCAGATCCACAGCGGTGAGCCACGCTTCTGCTCTCCGTCTGTCTCCATGTTCTCCTTCCCGCTCTCTGTCTCTCTCACTCTTTCTCTCTCTCTCCACTCCTTTGCTCTGGTCACCCGGCAACAGATCCGCTTCACTGCTGTTCCGTTTCCCAGGTTCTCTCTGCTGAAGTTTAGTACTTTCAGCAAACATGCTGCTCTTGATGCTATAAGTGGGCCGATTAAGGCCTGTTTCAGGCAGATCTTGAGTTAGCCGCCGGTCTCTGCTGGTCGTTGTGTTTACATGTCATATCACACAAACCTTTAGATGGGTCAGATATAGTACATTTGTAATGTTCTTTTTAGCCATTAAAATTCCCGTAAGACCCATCCCAATGGTGCCGAAGCAGCAGTTTGGTGTCTGTTTGGTTTTATATAACCTGCTGAGTTTGTTGTGACAGTGCTGTGCAGTACAACAGCAGGTCTGCCTTTGCAAAAGCACCCGTCACACAATGTTGCTGTTTTGTAAAACGCTGGCCAGCCTCGTTCTATCACAGGGTCTTGTTGAGTCACTGTGGCAAAGCTGGGTCTCTGTGTAACTAATACAAATGGTATTCATCACAAGATAATAGCAACCAGACATTTTTACCACAAGTTTTCAGTGACATATGGGTGACACATAGGCTATTTAAGGCTCAGATGTCACAGTCAATGAGCAGGTCTTTGTGTGTGTCCGTCTATCCGTTTACCTGACCAGACTTTCCACATTAAACTATTTAGTCAGTCATCTTTATCTGTACTCTAAAAGGCAGTCAGTCATTTTTTTTAAATGCAAGATGGAAGTGGGACGTTTTCACTGCATATCAAAGCACAACATTGGGAGTTTCAGTTCAGCATGTGAGCAATTTTTTAATGCAGCTCTTTTGTTGAATATCCAGATGACCCTAGATGGTGCCATTGGTAAAACCCAATGTGTGTGTGTGTGTGTGTGTGTGTGTGTGTGGTCCAGGTATGCATTACATTGTGTGGACCAAATGTCCCAACAATGTGATAAAATCCTGTTAGTTTGACATTGTGGGAACCATTTTTTTTTCGGTCCCCACAAGGGGAAATTCAATTTTGTAATAATCTGTGACTGCAATCAAAAAATGAAAAATGCCAAGTGTCTTGTATTTTGCTTGGTTGCTTATGGTTAAGGTTAAGGCTGGGTAGGGGTTAAGGTCGTCATTGTTGGGATTAGGGTTTTGCCCATAGAAATGAATGTCAAGTCCCCACAAAGATGTGAGTACAGGTATGTATGTGTGTTTGTGCAAATGTTTGGCTCACAGTTCTTCATATTACACCTTTCAGAATATAAACTTGGTTATGAAACAAGCTGGCTGATTTTTACCAAAATAGCTAATTACGCATTAATATTGTCTTTTTTTATGTAGCATTACGCTACACGGGGAGGTGCATTCTGGGGAGGTGGCCTTTGCGACTGGCTGCAACGTTCAGGGCATGTATGTGACCTTCCTCCTTTGTCCGATAGATGATCATTCTGTGTGGTTTCGATTGGCCTCCTGTGGGCAGGACAGCCTGCTGAAGATATGGACCGTCTCCCAGCATGCCACAGGTACGGGTCACTGGTTGCCTTGGTGACAGTCCCAGGAAACTCTCTCCATTGGGACGACAAACAAAACCCCCTTTTTTTACATTAATATTAAATCCTGGTGCTTTATGCATAAGGGCATATGTATTGATTCAGCTTGTGAGTCATCGAGTCATACTGGTCATGATGGTAATGTACTGGACCAGTTGAGATGGATTGGACTGGTGGTGTTGGTGGTATAAAGCATTGGTTATTGATTATGGATTGGCAGGCTGCCGGATGGAGCTGCTTCACACGCTAACAGGCCAGTCCGCCCCGGTGCTGTCCTGCTCCTTTTCTGCTGACGGAGGGCTCCTGGTGTCCGGGTAACCCGCCCCCTTCCCGGGGACACAGAAACACTCTCAGAAATGTAGGAACAAGCAGGAAATCACTCATGGCAATAGAGTTTTGTTCGCTCATTGAGACACACTTCCAGAAATTAAATATGAATGATGAACACATTCAAAGTTCCTTTTTAAGTCACATATACATTAGTAACTTATTACTGTACAATAGTAACTTGAGAAGTTTGCTTGTTTCGTTGCATTTACTTACTGTAGCTGCAAGTGAAGCAAACAGCACATTACAAACACTGCTGTCAAGGAGTCGACTAGGCACAGTGCGGCCAGTCTGAGCTTCCAGTGAATGCAGGGAGAGTTTTCCTTTCATACTGTCACCCGCTTGTTGATTCTGTGGTGTGCAGAATCATTTTAGTCATGAACAGTTTTGAATGAATTCTTTAGAATCGGCGCCTTGGACCGAAACTGCTGAGCGAGGTACCTTTCCTCGTTATTGTGATGTTCCGGGGAAGATCACATGTATAATAAGATCTCTGTCCTCGTTGCAGCTCTTTGGATAAATCCGTCGCTGTATACGACACTGTAAGTAAAACCGCGATTTTTATTGCGTCTTATTACGCCAGCGGTGGTTATGGATGTTTTGAACAAGATCTTTCTTGTGAAATTATCTAGTTGGACACGCAGCTGTGTGCAGGCAGTTCCTGCGTTAAGAATGTTCAACGTATAGACAACTCGTACTTACAAGCAAACTGCCATAAAGCACGATATACTAAATAAATTGAGTTGAAAACAACGGTTTGTATTAACCAATGCTGGCACTACTTTGTGACGCTCATTAAGATGCCACACAGCTTCTGTGATTGGTCAGCTCGAGGTACAGAATAGTACCATATGGAGTTACTTTTATTATTACTGTGTAATTATTATTATTATTATATGCTGTTATTATGATTGTTCCGACACACCTACAGATTCGACTTAGACAGACTTAGGGACCGGATCTCTTCTGTTACCTGGGGACAGCCTGTATATAGCTGAATATGTTGGGTTTGCAGTGGGGTGCTGCATTAGAACCCTATTTTTCCCTTTATGAAAAAGTCCACAGATATGTGAGGCTGGTGTTAAATGGCTTTGTGATCTCGCCACCTTTCAGAACTCCGCTTCCCTACTCTATTCCCTACACCAGCATCAAAGGTCAGTGAGTGAGCCGTTTATGCTCAGATGTACACTGCTGCCCCCTGCTGGTCATAATTACAGCTTCTGCCATGAACCCCCACCACTCCAGGTATGTGACAGCATGCGCCTTCTCGCCAACGATGCCCCTGCTCGCCACGGGCTCCATGGACCGATCGGTGATCATCTGGAGGGTGGAGGACGGCTCTGGTGGACAGGGTGTGTTAACATCGTGGCTACTCTCCGACATTCCACATTACTGTCTAGTTCCTCCCTCTCTCAGCTGACTCTGTAGCGCCCCCGTGTGAGCAGTAACTCACCAGGGTGTCTGTCTGGATGCCCTCTGATTTAGCGTTCTTGTATTACATTCCATCTTCATATCAGTGCCTGACTAAGACTGTTGGCTTAAGGGATCGAATGTGAAACGTAGTCAGGCAGGAACTGTGATGCTTTCCCTTTTGTGGTTCTAAAGCTTGGTTTTTCACAGCTTCTCCTTATCATCATGTAGTGCTGCCTTGTGTTGTAATGTCATTCTCTGTTCTCTTTCAGATTCATCTCAGGAGTTGCCAGAGACAGCTGTGGTGGGTCAGTATGGTCTCTGTTGTGGTCTGTTGTGGTCTGTTGTGGTCTGTTCTTTGGGGGTGATGTAGAGTACCAATTAATAATCGGGACACACCTGCTAAAAACTTTTGTTTTTCAACACGATAACCTTGAATGCTCAAAGTCGTTATGTAAGAACTGTATTATCTTGTGAACATGGAAAGAGATGGAGTGCTGTGACAGATGACCCGGCCCCCACCGTCCCCCGGCCTAAACCCAATGGAACTGCTTTGGGATGAGTTGGATGAAAGAGTGAGATCAAGGTTGCCAACCTGTGGCCAGAAGTTGTGAAAACTCCTTCAGGACTGTTGGAGAAGCATTCCAGGTGGCTACATCTGGAAGCTGGTTGAAAGAGCCGGCATTGCTATCATTGAAGCAAAAGGTGGCCAATTTGAGGAGTCCGAAATTTGAGAAACTTTAGAGATGTTCACTTCTCTTGGTCGTTGCGATATTTGGCATGTATTACTTCATTGCCTCGAAGTTTTTTACTACAAGGATAATAACAGATAAAACAGAGACAGATACATTAAAAGCAGGTGTGTCCTGACTTTTGACTGGTACTGTATGTATGTGAGTAATGGAGAGATGTGGTATATACTTTGGCGTGTTCTGGGTTACCTTGAATGTGAAGGTCTACAGGGCGAAGACGCCTTACTGCCAGGCCTCCCAACAGCAGGTTCATTGTGATGTCCGTCCATCATGTTGCCTGCTGACCATGGTGCTCTTCTCCATTGTTCTCGGTCTTATGCCCAGAATCGGGTAGCTTCACTCTTGTCATTTGTGCTTCGAGGGACAGTATTAGGCTTAATTTCATCAAGAACCTGATTATCTGTTTCCCTTGTGGTCTGTCGTTTTCCTAAAAGCACAACAGTGCCTGTACATCTGTGACCTTCCTGTACTGGTTCTTCTTTGGCCATCATAAGTATTTTAAGATATACAGCGTTACCTTGGAACACAAACTTAATTTGTTCCAGAAGGCTGGTCGGGTTGCAATTTGGTTGAGGTCCAAGTCAAATTTCTCCATAAGAAATAATGTAAATGAATTCAATCCATTCCAGACCCCCAAATGATTGCCTATTTAAGCTTATGAACCTACCTAACTAATGATAAAAAGCATTAACAATCAATGTAAAATTAATACACACATGAAAAAGCACAGATAGAAAAAGTGACAAATATGAAGTAAATATGAAGTCCCATACTCTGAAGCAAGAGCAGACACGTGCACCACGTTCAAGTCTCCCTATAATTTTCTTTTTAAGTTCTACAGTCACTCTCACTACTTCCCCCTTTGGTTTGCTGCTATTACTGCAAACTTTCTTAGGGGGCAGGATTACTGTATTAGTAAATGTACTGTAGATAAAGCACAAAAAAATTCACACAACACAGGAACACAGCTTTCGCTCGTCGAACTCGGTTGAGAGGTACTGTGAGACTGAGAGCTATTCGTAGGCATCAGCATCCCAGTAGGTCCGTTTGCCTTTGTGTCAGCCCATCAGACACGTCTTGATCTTTACAGGTTTTGGCAAGTCTTGTCTTGTTTTGTCGTGTTTCATGTTCGTGTTTCGTTTCGTGTTTCAGTCTACATGTGGCTAGGTTTTTCTCAACCAACCTGTTTGATGTCCGAATTGGTGGAGTTGAACATGTCTCGACCCATAAAATTTTTAGCAGGAACAGTCGAGTTGCAGGATTTAGGTCGAGGTACAAGTAAAGTTGGTCCAGTTGAGAGGTGTTTGAGCTCCAAGGTTCTACTGAATTTATAAATATATGCACAATATATTTACTGTTAGTTTTATTGATCATTTCCATATTTCTATACATTACTATGAGGAAGGAAGGAGAAATGCGTATCAATGGGGAATTATGGGCTGTTTATGTAATATGCTCATTAATGATACATGTTATGAGCAGGTTAATGAGTAAAAACGTTTTGGTGTTTAAAATGTAGTTTTTATGTGGTATGGTGGTAGGAGGGCCCATTTTGATCACATCATCTAGCCAAAGGTCATAATTTGGACTGCAACAGAGGTTGAGATTTCAGGTCCAGAAAGTACAAATCCAGACCAAGATTTTGTTTCAAGTAACCAGTTGAGTACTCTGTGACAGTGACTCTTTATACTCAACTGGTTGGTTGAAACAAAATCTTGGTCTGGATTTGTACTCTCTGGACCTGGAATCTCTGAGTCCTCTGCTGTCTGTGTGTTCCATCCTTCCAGGAAGGTGTGCAGTGGGTCGCTCCAGCCTGCCGGTGAGTAGGTGGTCTGAGGAAGACGTGCTGGCCTGGCTGCGTGAGGAAGGTCTGGCAGCACTCGAGAGCTCCTTCAGGGCCAACAACATCGACGGAGCTGAGCTGCTCTGCCTGGACAAGGAGATGCTGACCTCTGACCTCCGCATCGGTGATGTCACGCTCCTGACCTTGCCCTGCTCCTTCACCTTCCATGCATTTTGCTGATCCACTTTGTAGATGCCAGTGTGTCATTATGGACCCCCAGAAGTTGTGAGCTTCATCCCCACAGCTCAGGCTGTCCAATGATCAGCTGCCTTCAAGCAATGAGTAGGGGGCGGAGATGGGGACAGAGGGCTTGGGTGTTGGAAAGATCTGTTCTCAGATCAGTCCTAGTGTGCCTTGTGTCTCCTGCTTGAGGTTTTTTTCCTGTTCCACTGGTGAAGGGCTTCTATTACTACATACCCCAAAATCTCAGCCCAGGGGATTCTGGGTATTCTGCACCAGTGGGCTCCAGTGTGTCAAGCTGACGATTCGATCCCCTCACTGGGTCAATGTGCATAGTGCACACATGGATATAAATAGATTTTCTAGTTTTCTCCCACCGTGAAATTTTCATGGACCCCCCCGCCACGCTGTGTCAGTGATGAGGGCTGTAACACTAGCCTCAGTCCACCTCAGGGGGGTGTCGACAGCCTGCCCTGCTGCCTGGAGGCCCTGTGATGTCCCAAACCCCGTCATAGCAATCAGTGCCTAAGTGGATTAATCTGCCTGACCTTTCGTGTTTCATTTTCTGTTAAATTGACCGTAACGAGTCTGAAAGGTTTCAGATTGAAGAAAGTCAAAATCAGGAGGCCACCCCCAGTGTGTGTGTGTGTGTGTGCATGGGGGGGGGTCTAATCATTTGAGACAATTTACGCCATCATTGGGGTTGTTTCAACACGTGGGCCTACTAACTTATTTTTGTGCATTTCTAAGCAGACCTTAAAATTACAATTGTTTCATTCAAGGCCTTCGCTTGTAAACATAATCCATCTGCGTTGTGAGATTTCCATAATTGTGCTCACTTTTCTTTGAGGATTAATATCCTGCATTATAAAGCCCAGTGTATTGATATTATTGATGTCTAGTGCTCCATTTTGGCCTGAGTCCCTCGGGAAAGTGGAAGCCCACAGGAGAAGCCCTGCCGGATTAAAACAACAACATTGGCCTAGTGGTTTGCTCTGATAGCCCCTCCCTAAGTATCTGTGTGAATCGCGAGGGAGATTGCAGTGTGTACACCTGCAGAGTTTATTCAGCTGTGCTTTTGTGCCTAGTAGTTTGCACTTTTTCGGGTACAGGGTCTATATTGGAAAACTGGTAAGATTTTTGGAAATGTATGTTCTCATTTTAAAAATATGATCCTAATTGTAAATATTAAAACATAAAAGTATTAATCAAAGCTCAGGTTAATAGACCACAGAGGCGTAATATAGAGTAACAAATATGTGTCCCAGTTTACCCTTTATCTCACTTAACCAATATTCTCCCCATTTGTCCCTCCCTCCCTCACTCCTTCCCCTCTTCCCTCCTTTGGACAGCAGAAGTAATATTCAGCTTTGGTCGACGTACACATCTCTGTTTTTAAACGTTCCACCTAGTTATTCCAGTGGCAGGTTGTGTGATTAAAGCCCTTATCTGTGCATTCCAGAGTCCGCTGGCCTGCGCAGTAAAGTCCTCCGGAAGATTGAGGAGATGAAAACGGCCTCCGATGACTCCTGTGTCCCCGACGAGCTTCTGTGCCCCATCACTAGGGAGGTGCTGAGGGACCCCGTCATTGCAGCAGGTGGTTGTGAAGTCGATTCCGGGCGGCTCTCACGCTGTATGTGCTGTATGAAGACATACTGCTTTATAAGAGGGAGAGGCTGTCAAAAGCATTGCAGTGTGTGTGAGAGAGAGAGAGAGAGAGAGAGAGAGAGGGGGGGAGAGAGAGAGAGGACTCGAGCTTCATACCGTGTGCCAATAGGCTAGTGTCCCAAAATTACTCATGGAGTGTGACTGGCACAATGCCATTTGCGCCCTGCTTCCCAAGTACAGGCTCACTGTGACCTGGTACTGGAAAAGCAGTTATGGATGGAAATTCACGTGCAATTCTGTATGGTTTACATTTTCCACAAACAGACGGCTATTCATACGAGAGGGAAGCCATCGAAAGCTGGGTTCGAAACCACAATCGCTCAAGTCCCATGACGAACCTACCGCTGCTGACGATGGCCCTGACCCCCAACCGCACCCTGAAGATGGCCATCAGCCGCTGGAAAGCTGCCCAGTGAAACGGGGACACTACTTCTGCAGTTTGTGTCCGACAATATCGATGTGGCATTACATTTATGTAACAGTTATTTTTTAAATATTAGAACTTTATAATGTATAGTATTTGGTTGTTTGTAAAATATAGGTAAATATTACATGTTGTTGTTAAAAATATGTAGTGTTAAATCTATGAGCCGTTTCCCAGTATATAATAAAGTAAGAACTATAGTCTGCCACTAGATGGCAGTGCGTGCCGCGTAATGAGGCATCATCCGTGAGCGCGGCTGTTTCGCGTTGAAGGTCACGATTTGCTTCTGCATACGTCACATCGCTTTTATGGGGTGCATTTATTAGGGCGTCTGGCAAGGCCAGACTGCCTTGCTGTCGATTAAATTTGAACAGCCCCAAATTACAAGGTTTACCAAAAAAAAAAAGTGTTTTCAAGGGGTTGCATTAGAACAGCAGGGACTTTGCAGTATAATTTTAACTGTCAAAATGGTTGTATTATGGATCTAACATTAATGTGCCGTGACAGTGGGGGTGTTATCCACCTGTTACAAAGCGATTGAATGTTTCACACGTGAGGAGAGCATCTGGCAATAGTTTATAAAACTGACATTTATTTTTCTGTAACTTGTCTTGCATTTTTTTGTTTCCCCTCTGGATAAATCACCATAATTCACCGTAAATCTCAGCGGGATAAATGCAACTCATAAAGATGCACTACAGCCCAGTGAATGACGTTGGCTGTGAAATCCATGAGTAGAACACCAGCAGCCCCCCATTCAGCTATCGGTGAGTCAGTTTGGGTGGGTGGAAGGGAGGTTTGTAGTCCATCATCTAACACTTACAAAAAAAAAACTACAATTCCCAAGGCCAGTCTCAGCAGTAGGACTTTAATTTCTCCATTGTTAGAATGGCAGCATGTGTGTGTATATATAGTTTTTCCATTTGACAGTTTGTGAGAACAGAAAATACAGCTTCACAATACTGAACACATCAAGAGTATAGCAGAGCTGCTGCAGCTGGCCCCAAACCTTATTTTATTCATTCACATATATATATATATACATATACATATATATATATACATATACATATATATATATATATATGCCCATATATATATTTAAATTATTTTATTACAAACTGTACCCCTGCAATATGCACTGTCCTCATCGACGCTCTTTTCTCAATGTCTCCACAGTGCAAAAATAAAACTATAGAGTATAAGTATTGCTTTTACAATCGACCAAGCTGTTAAGAGCAGTAAATAAATAAACGTAGGTGGCAACAAGCGGGAAAGATTCCAGTAAACCTTGTATGAGTTTTAATAGAGACTCTTGACCTCTGAATGCGGAAATAAAAAGCAGCTAGGTATATATATACATGTATGTCCAGTAAGTCAGCGGCAGCGGTGACCTTCATGTAAACAAAGGTCATATGTACAAGAAGTTCTAGTGTGTGGTTTCCCCAGTCTGGGGGCCAAGCAGTGCCCTCCCCAGCACCTCTCCCTAGTTAGGGGTGGCTTTATGCAGACGACACGGGGTGGGGCCTGTGTTATTGCGGCAGTGGTGCGGCGAGAAAGGTCAGCTGAAAGGTCAGCGTTGAGCGGTTAGCAGCACTGTCTCCGCACGGCCTGCAGGGGGCCCCGTAGAGCAGCACCTCAATGCCTTTGACAGCGGCAGATGGTGAAACAGTGTACACTTGGCATCTTCCCTCAGGAAAAACGGGAGCGCCATCTCGTAAAGGTGCAGTTTCACACGTTGGATTCGATGAACGGTCGCTTTGGTTTGATGGATGCGGAGTGCAGGGTGGGGCTATCCTGGGTCAGCGCCTGCTTGGCCTTGGCATCCACGGCGGCCCGGTGCCCTGGCTCGGCGTAGGAGAAGCGCTCGGCAAACTCCCGGACGTGCGTTCCGTTGTGCAGGCTGGCGTAGGTGCCGTCCAGGTGCCCGCGGTGGGAGCCCGCCATGTTCGCGTGCGCCCACTCACAGTTCGACGGGGCGGCATGTCCTGCCAGCCCCTCTACTGAGTGGCTTTGCCGGCCACGTACCTCGAGAGCGCCGCCCTGGTGCTGTAGCTGCTGAAAACGTGCCGTCTTATCCGTGACCCCCATGAAGGGGCGGGGCTTATGCTCGCCCGGCCTGCTCTTCTCACTCGACGAAGCCCTGCAACGCGGGTCGGAACCCTGCAACCTACCACCGTCTGACAGGCTGCCGCTGGACCCAAGGCTGCTGGAGGAGCCGGACACTCTGATGCCACCGGGTTGGGACCCCAGCTCCTTCCTGGCCTCCTGGTGCACATCCAGCGCCTGTCTCTCTCTGACACTGCTGGAGGATTGGAGGGAAGGCCGCGCATCGGGATCGGAGCGGTATCCCGGCCCCGAGTCGTCTGCACCGGATGGCAGCGGGCTGATGTCTATGCCAGGCCCCGGCCTCAGTGCGCTGGACATGTGGCGGCCGGGCAGCGGGCTGGACGGGGCATACTGGCCCTGTGTCTTTCCCCCAGACCTGGAACCGCTTTGCAGAGAGTTCATGTGCTGGCTGGTCTTCACGATCTGTGCCTGTCTGCTGGGCTGCAGGACCAGGCCCTGGTGGGAGACGGCCTCGGGGGCCGGTTTGTGGGGCCGCCTGCTGGGCGGGGAACCTGCTCTGGCGTTGTGGCGGGACGGACCCATCGAGTCTGGGAGCGTCCTGTTCAGCGAGTAGATGCTCTGCGACCAGCCCGCGGAGAGCGGCTCGTCTTCCTCGTCGTCGGCGGCAGTGGCGGTGTCCTCGGGCCCCTCGCCTTCATCCGCCCCATCCATGCTCTGCTCCAGCACGTCGGCCTCCTCTTCCTCGTGGTCCGAGTCGTGGCCTGCGCCCTGTTGCTTCTGCTGCGCGTGCTGCAGCTGCTGACACTCCTCCTCCACGCGCGCCAGCAGCCGCCGGATCTCGCGGTTATTGGGGCAGAGCTTGGCAGCCTCATGCAGGTCGGCCATCGCTGCAGCAAACTGCCTGTGGGGGGCGCAATGGAGAGAGAGAGAGAGACAAAGTGAGAAGAGAAAAGATGGAGAAAAGAGGAGAGAAGAAAAAAGAAATATGAGAGAGAAAGATGAGAGGTTAGAGAAAAAGAGTGAGACAGATTACAAAAAAGAAATGAGAGACACGGTGACAGAAGGACAGGGCAGAGAGTGAGCCAGGGGGGTTTGTGACCCCCAACCTTAGGGAGGTTGGTTTGTGACCCCCAACCTTAGGGAGGTTGGTTTGTGACCACCACCCTTAGAGAGGTTGGTTTGTGACCACCACCCTTAGAGAGGTTGGTTTGTGACCACCACCCTTAGGGAGGTTGGTTTGTGACCCCCACTCTTGGGGAGGTGGGTCCTACCTGCTGCTCCTCTTTGCCCTGGCTCTCGCATAGTACGCCTCGTAGCATTTTGGCTTCAGCTCCAGCACCTTGGTAGCGAAGTCCTCAGCCATGCCGAAGTCCTGGGGGGGAGGCGGAGTCCTAGATCAGCATGGGCCGGGGCAAGGCGAAGGGCGGCAGGTTTCCATGCCCATGCAGGCACTGCTCTGGGGTGCTTTTCCCAACAACCCAGGATGGGGTGCCAACCCATCGCAGGGCACACTCACACTATTTATGGACACTTGCACACCTTACTGGGGTGGTGGTGGTGAGTGGCTCAGTGGGCTAAGTTCTGTGATCAGAAGGTTGCCGGTTCAAGCCCCAGCCTTGACCAGAACAGTCACATGTTATATGATGACCCTGTGCTGTAACCCCTGAGCTACAAAGAGCAAGATGGGTTTGGCAAAGAGATGAAGTACATACCTGTACTTATACCTGTGCAATGGCAAATAATAAATAAATCCTTTTGCACTGTGGGTGGGGAAGCAGAGGACACAACACAGGGAGAACCTTACAAACACAGGGAGAACCTTACAAACACAGGGAGAACCTTACAAACACAGGGAGAACCCACACACACACAAGGAACCCTGACAGAGATTTGAACCCAGGCCCAGGTCACTGTTGCTAACCACTGCACCACCGTGCTAGCCCTAATATCAATACTCACTATAGATTAATATTAGTCATTAAACAACAAACATTATTAATAATTATTACTAACCCTATCACTACTAACGACCATTAACTATTAATATTCGGAGTGACGATGACCATACTTGGCACACTTATGGACAGTTTGGTAACTCCAGTTCACCTCAGCATGTTTTTGGACTGTGGGGGGAGTCTGGAGGAAACCCCACGACGACACGGGGAGAGCATGCAAACTCCACACACATGGAGCCATGGCAGAGACTCGAACCCGGGTCCCAGAGGTGTGAGGCAACAGTGCCGACCACAGCACCTACAACCCTCTATGATTAATCAAGTATCTGAAGTGGCAGTTAAATCTAGACTCTACCACTGTACCCAAGTCTGAAGTTCCCATCCCAGGATAGTTTGTGCCCCCGTCTGGTGATAATGGGGTTTCTAATCTGCTGATACGAGGCCCGTCTGCTTGCCGTCTGTGTCCATTCGCCTGTTATTCCTCCCAAAGCTTGTTTGGACGTCGTCCTGCTGTTAGTGGCCTCGTCCCTGTTAATGCGCCTCACATGGAGCGTCCTGCCCGGCTCTCTCCGCTAATGTATGCTGGGCTCTTACATTAAATCTTTCTTCTTTTTTGACCTAGTAGACCTTTTCTGTGGCAGGATTTTAGCCGTTCATATTGCACCATGTATTTTATATCACGAGGCAGGACAGAAATCAGAGTTTATGACTGACCCCATGATGCTTTAGCGCCACCCTACAGGCAACTGGCTGAATGACAGGTATAGTCTGAACAGAAGCACTCACATTGGTTTTTCTGCGGCAGCGGGACAGGTTGAGGTAGAGCGACACGCGCAGCTCTTTGAAGGCCCTCAGATCCTCCCCGAAGCCGTCCCTGGGGAACTTCCTCAGGGCGTACTGGTATCGCTGTGCAGCCTCCTTCATCTTTCCCTTCTGAGAGAGGAAGGAGGGGGCAGGGGTCATCGCAAACTCCTGCAAGGACCGACTGCGGCGACAGCCCTGTGCTGCACCTGCCACCACGTCCCGTCAAAACAGGATCAATTTCGGGTAACACCTGCGGTAGTCATTTTCCTGCTCTGTGGATCGAGGAGCGCAGCCATTTTATGTGTCAAGAAGCTGACCTTGCCTCGGGGGCTGTGTGTGCTTAGGACATTCTTTCTGAACTTCGTTCCCATTTTTCTGGGCTAGAATCCTGGTTAAACTACATTACTTAAAGAGAAAAACAACAAAAGTGGATCATTTTCCTGGGGAGGTCAGACGTGGTGATGGACTTCATGAACCATTCGCTGTATTTTTTGACCCCACTAGATGGTGCTCTCAAAAAAGGGCACCAAAGCAAACCAAGAGTGGCATCTAGTGGGGTCAAAATACAGCCAATGGTCCCATCACTATCTTGACCTGTGGCTGGGTGGCTCTGCTAATCAGGCCGAAGGTCACTGCAAGGACATCTCCATCTGCCAAGGGTCAGGAGCCACGTAAACCTCTCAAAGTCCCGCTGGAGAATGTCCTCTTGCTCACCTTGTAGAGCAGGTTGCCTTCCTCCATGAGCTTCTGAAGGAGGATGATGAGGATGTCAGGCTTGGAGGTCGCCATAGCCCAGGCCGCATTGCCTGCGGAGCGAGAGCGGGCCGGAGTTCAGCTTGCTGTTCCTACCACACCCTCAGGGGGGCAGCGAGGACAGTAGCAATGGTACGAGGTAAGGTTACCTAAAGATTGTACCTGATCGATCATAAGGAGATGTTCTGTAGCCTAGGCAAGGCATTATGGGAAGCGGTTAGGAGAAAGGAAAGGTTGAGACATTACAGACAGACAAGAAGCCAGAAACAAAGTGAAAGGCAAATGCTGTAACTTAATTAACTTATAATTAAAAAGCAAATAATCATATTTATCATGCATTGTGCAATACAATCACAAAGAAACATGCTTTAAAATACTGAATGAATAGCCAGATACCATCTATGGCAGTGGGTGTAGTTATTACTCCCAAAACAAAAACAAGTGTGAATTACACACCGAAATGTTACCGTGCACCACAAAGGCCGTGGGTGTATTCTGAGCCAATCGATACAACAGTCATTAGGGAAAATTAAAAGGAGATAAGATCTAAATGAGCAGATTACAGGGCTGTGGGCCTGAATGCTCACTGAATGTCACCAGTGACGGTGACAACGTCTAATGACAGGAGGAGAGAGAGAGAGGCAAGGTGACGGGGTGGGGGGGACGGTCTGCACACCTCACAGAGAGCGATAGAGCAGGGCGTTGATGGTCAAAGGCTGCATGCTGGACCTTAACTCTTATCTACTGCCTGAACGACCCTAGTGAAAGGGCACCCCCCCACACCCTGCCCGGCCCCGGGCCGGCCCACGACGACTCTCACCCAGCTTGGCCCCCTTCTTCAGCAGGGTCACCACCACTGAGGTGTTCCGGCAGCCAATGGCCCGGTCCAGTGGCCTCATCCCGCTGCAGTCCACGTGCTCGATCACCGCGCCCTTCTCCACCAGGAAGTGCACCTGCACGCCAGAGACAGTCACTGGTGAATTTAGCTGATCAGACCACTTTCCCGAGTCTAAAGGTTTAAAGGTTTAGTCTAAAGGTTTTGAGGGGGTGGGGGTGCAGGGTCAGTTGAGCTTCTTGTGGCTCTGTGAGCTGTTTGTTGGTCTGTAACCAAATAAACCAAGTGGGGACACTGTTAAGGACACAGGAGACACAAGATAGTGCTGTGGGCTGGGGACACTGTATTGGGAACGCTGTACTGAGGACAGAGGCCACTGTGCTTGGGGACAGAGGATACAGTGCTGGGAACACTGTATTGGGGACAGAGGACACTGTGCTGAGAACACAGTACTGGGGACAGAGGATACAGTGCTGGGAACACTGTATTGGGGACAGAGGACACTGTGCTGAGAACACAGTACTGGGGACAGAGGATACAGTGCTGGGAACACTGTATTGGGGACAGAGGACACTGTGGCATTGGACAGGGGACATGACACACCTGGTAACCCCAGCAACAGTCTGCAATGATTATATATGATTATATATAATGTTTATATATATTAAACAACCTCATGAGCTGTTGGGGGGGTGCAGTGTCTGTGAACTTTCTGTGGCTCTGTAAGCTCTTTGTTGGTCTGAACCCAAGTAAGACCCAGGAGACCCACCCACTGTACAGTATGTTATACCAGTGACTGCAGGATGCACCCAACCCCAGGTGACCGTCTGAGTAGCGTCTCGTCACTCACAATGTCGGCGTCGCCGTAGAAGGCCGCCAGGTCCAGTGGAGTGCGCCCATTCTTGTCGGCGTGGTCGACCACGGCACCGTTTGCCACCAGACAGCGCACCACCTCCCTGTGTCCCTTCAGACAGGCCCAGCTGAGAGGCGTCAGGCCCTCCTTATCCACCGCCGTCACGGAGGCGTCTGGGGGCACACAGGAGGCACACGCACACTGATCGAGGCCACCATTGTTACGATGGTCACGTGCTCAGAGCGATTCACGCGGCCTTCATCCATGCTTGAGCAAGGTCCTGTCTGGGCTTCAGATCTACAGACTTTTAATAAGTTGGTTAACATTCAAGATACAATTTTCTTAAGAAGTAAGTACTTCACCAGCCACCCAATAGAAATGCAGACCAGTTACCAATAGAAAACAATGTACAGATATCAGTTTAAAATTATGAATATGGTAATGACTGAATTTCATCTTCACGTTGACTGACTTTCCAACATTCCACATGCGATGGGATGTTTTTTTTTCCAGTTCAGGAAAACCCTGTCACTCTGCATGTTGAGTAAAACCTGAAGGGCCATGGGGCAGTGGTAAGGGCTGACCTTTGACCTGACACTCACCCTTGGACAGCAGGAACTCCACTGTACTCAGGTGGCCCTCGCAGGCTCCCACCATCAGCAGGGTCCGTCCCTGCTTGTCGGTGACGTTGACGTCCACTCCCTGCTCCAGGAGGAGTTCGGCGACCTGAAGATAAGGTGAGGGAGCAGTTACAGCTGGCTGCCCAAGTTATCAGATAACGTCCTTTCTGAGAGATCACCTAAGTGCAACAACGCATCAGTCAGAATGTTACATCCGGCTTTGGCTCTTCAGAGCTTCTTTTGGTCTCAGCTCATGACATACATGACAGTGTGGCTTGATTAATGTCCAGCCAGTCACCTCTCCCATCACCCGCCAGAGGCCGCCTCCCACCAGCCAGTGACCCCCTCCTTACCTGCCAGTGGCCCCCTCCCACCAGCCAGTGACCCCCTCCTTACCTGCCAGTGGCCCTGCCTCACAGCACAGAAGAGGGAGGAGGCCCCACGGCGGTTGGCCTGCTGCACCACAGCCCCCTCTTCCAGCAGCAGCTTGCAGACCTCCAGCTTGCCTCGGCTCGATGCGGCCGTCAGGGCTGTGGAGAGGACAGGGGACACTGTGCTGGGGACATGGGACACGGTGCTGGAGAAATGGCATTGGGGATGGGACATGATGCTGGAGACAGGGGACATAGTGCTGGAGAAATAGTATTGGGACAGGGAACAGTGTGCAGGGGACATGGTGGTAGGGACACTGTTGGGGACATGGGATATGATACTGGGGGGACATAGTGCTGGGGACAGAGGACATGACACTGGGGACATACAGTGCTGGGGACAGAGGACATGACACTAGGAGGACAGTGCTGGGGACAGAGGACATGACACTGGGGAGACACAGTGCTGGGGACAGAGGACATGACACTGGGGAGACACAGTGCTGGGGACAGAGGACATGACACTGGGGCTCAGT